GTACGGGCACTGAGAGGTAAGTTCACATTTTTCTTTTACAGGTATGTCCTGCCTGGAGACGTTGAATAATAGTGACTTTGTTGTGCCTGCAGCATGCCAATATCAAGAAAAGTAAGACTGAAGCTTATGGCCCCTCAAGAGCTCAAGATGTGGACCGGCTACATTATTACTATACTGTGAATTAGCATGTTGCAAGTTTATTAAAGCTAGCATGTTGGGCTAGATAAATGTAGAGTAATACCTACTCCTTAAAGGTTCAATAGCAATGCCTTTTTACTCCTTCCTCACTTTGCTCAAGTTGAGAAACAATTGGTAAAATGGTTTCTGTTTAATTTGAAGAGCAGAAAGATGGTGGAAGCCTCGTTGTTCAAGGACCTTTTTTTGGTTTTGTACAAACAATGAAGATTTTCACCTCACTGGGCAGTTTCATTTTCTAAATGCTAGAAGTGGGTAACAAAATTATTTTAGAAGGCCTTATTTACACTAATTTAGAAAAAAAATACAGTTAGAACTGAAATTGTGCAGATTTTATCATGCTTTTTTGTGCTGTTTTTTTTTTTGTTTTTTTTGACTCGAGGTACATTTTAATGTGTTTTGTATTCTCTGTCTCTTAATGAATGGCATGGTTAACTTTTCATGCATTCTGAAAAAGTGTGAATTAGGCCTATTCATTTTCTATTGCCAGAATGTGTTTTTTGTTTTTTTGTTTTTTATATATATTGTAAGTTTTTTTTAATATATTTTCTGTTTGGCTTTTGAGTCACATGTGACAATAAGGGACATTCAAGTTTTGTATTAAATGTTTCAATGACTGAAAATTTCCGTTTTTCTTTGTGACTGTCATACTTGATCGTGTTTTATTAATTTTCTGTGAACAGATTGATGACGCTTCTGCATCTATTTCTCTGGCCCAGCTTGCTAAGGTATATGTATGCACATTACTGTTCAACTAGTGTCCCTTTTAGTGTTTACACTACAAATGTCTGTTGTAACTTTTTTTTTTAATTTAAATATTTCGACTTTTTGAAATGCAAATGTTATGCAGTTTGCAATGTCAAATGAAATCCCCGGGGAGAAGCAAATATTTGGAGTTTTATAATTTCTGCCTTGTAACTACTTATTCTCAAGATGAAGAAAAAAAACTGAAGCTTTCTTTACAAGAAGAATAGTTTTGTTTTTTTTGTTTTGCATTTTTTCCTTTTTGAGATTTCAAGAATTAGAAAAGGAAGATAATACGGGGTTAACTTTTGCATATGGACGATGACCTCTTATTTTTTTATTTTTTCATTATACTATAAAAGGACACCGAAAACTGCTGCTGATACCCTCCCAAAAATTGTAATCAAGGCCATTTTTCTGATGTTGAAATGTGTGGTTTAAAACCTTGCTAAAGTTACCGTCTCCCAGTTTAATGTTTTTTGTAACTTTTCTGGATTTCAGTGCTGACAGTAAGAACATCATTTAATGCTTTGTTTGTTTTGCTGTATTAATGCACTTGAAATATGTACTTAATACTGCCTCACATTCATACATGAATTAATTGGTTTGCATTTCTGTATGTTTTGTTTTAAAAACATATAGCTATAAAGTTAATATTGATGTAATTTTTTTCTCTGTAATAATAATAATAAAAATTTTAACAGTTTGCTTGTTTTGTGAGTGAATGCTGAGCCCAACCATGCCAGGATAGTCTATGTGAAAATGGTACTGGATCAGGAGAAAACATGAAGCATATGTTTTGGCCTGTCGCTGGAATTTGGGCAGTAAAAGCTGAATAAAGACAGCCAGCTATGCTTCACATCAGGCCATGTTTATACCTGTTCTTACAAATCAAGAAAAAAAAAATACTGTTAAATTCCACAACTGTCTACTGAGCATTAAAATACAACATTTCAAATTTATATTCTACCAAAAACAAAAATTGTCCTTTTTTTATTATCCCAAAATAGTAGCCCTCTTGCATCTTCCATGCTTCACTCTGCCTTTCCTTGAAAAGTAGGGAAACCCGTATTAAACTCAGTTATGTGGTTTATGTGTAGTGACCAATGTGACTTGATGCATGTAGTGGTGGTGATAATGTAAAAAGCTTCTGAAAGTGTAGTATATAAAGTCATTTACACAGCAAGGATGACCATACATGGTGGTTATAGCAAACAAAATTGTTCATCCTACTTTGCATAGGTGCTGCTGCTTCATTTTTATTAGGAGAAAAGGGAACAAGGACTTCCACACCACTCCAAAGCCCCCCCCGTAGTCTGCCAACTTGGTGAGGACATTATGACGGGCCCTTACTGTAATACAACAGAGGGGACAGATGACTTGGCGAGAAATCTTTCTGACTATGGCCATGCTGATTTGTTTATTTTTTTTCCCCCTAGATAAGTACCTTTTACAGTCTTTTTCACAGGTGGCAAGCCATGTAGAGGGTATTTTGGTGGCTAGCTTCTTAAAGGATAAGTTCACCTTTTGGGAAAAAATAATAAATGCACGTATTTATGCAGGAAAAAAGTGCATTTATTATTTTTTCCCCAAAGAGCCTCGAAAGCATTGCACCCGTGATCAGGGGTGCAATGTCATACTCCTGCAGACAAGCCCTGCAGCTTTCAATCCGTACCTTCTTACAGGCTGACTGTTTTACAAGCTACAAGGCTAGTGAATGAACTATGTGACGGCTCATCAGTGACCTTGTAGTGCATTGAGAATTGCAAGCCATCAGGCACGATGGCTGACAGTAGTTGTAGTTCATTCACAGGAAATGGTGAATGAACGACGCAGCCGTGTGGGCGGAGCCCCACAAAGCTGCATTGCTTTTGACTTGCAAGTGCTGGGAGAAGATCCCTCGCCCGCCTTCGCAATGAGGGGGGAATAGGGGGGAACTGGCTTCCGGAGCTGGCATTATATTTAGCGGTTCTAAATACGGGTGGAACATGTAGCATGTTCCAAAGGGTGAACTTATCCTTTAAGTCTTTTTTCCTTTCTTTGCTAATTTCTAAATAATGTTTTTGAATATAAATCATGCAGTTGCAACACACATGGCCAAAATACAGTTTCCTAGTGAATTGGTTAAGTTGTATGGTACTAAAGAAAATTAACCCAAAGCCTGCGGCACAGAAGCAGAAGAAATAAAATTTCCCAGTGCCACATATTGCCTACAGCTTGCACTTACCTCTGTGACAAGGGTGCAGTGCACACATGGTGAGTCCAGAGGACAATGCATCTTATAATGTACAAAGGCATAGTATTGTACAGATTTTGTGATTGCTTAGGCCTTCTCCTAAGCCTGCATTTATCATAGAGCCAGACACAGGCCGCTGAGGTAACCAGTACGTGTTACATGGCACTGGGAATGATAATCTGTAACACACCTGTCAGATCTTATTACTTGCATTCAGTAGGCCAAACTGGATTCAAGAAAACCTGTACTAGAAGAAATATATGTATAATGCCTTTTACTGACCACCTTCTGAAACTGCTAGTTGCCAAGCCATTATTTGTGTTTTAGTACATTGAGTCACTGACCTATATAGCTGAATTTTGAGTTTTGCTTGTGTAACGTTTTTCACAGACTGTCTTTGCTACCAGTGTAGGCTAGATGCTTAGAGGGTGGCACCCGCTCTGTTTTCAATGTTCACTGAGGGAAAATTGCACAGTTTATGCTACTTCTCAGCATTTTCACAACCATTTGCAGAATTGACTTGATACATGTGCATATGAGGGGAAACAAAGAGCAGAAACAACTTTCCCATAATGTCTACACAAAGAAAATAAAAATTCTAACTGATGCTCTGTACTTCTCTCATTGACTTCTAATCACTGTGATGATTGTTATGATGATAGCTGAATGTAAACACTTTACGTTTTATTGCTCTGCACAAATGTGCTGACAAGTTAAAGTAGAATTCCATGCAAAGCCTAACTAGACTTAAAAATGCTTCCTCCCCTGTCCTAACCCCTGTGCTGACTAACCTGTGTAAAAAAAAAGACTTGTATATTTACCTATTTTCAGGCCGGTCCGGTCATGTGATATGACTCCCCTCTGTCAGCCAGCGGCAGATGCAGGGGAGAGGTGGTGCACTAACACCGGTTGATCCATAGGAGCCTATGGGTGATGTCACTGTTCGTGACTCTCGTAGAGTTCTCTCTTCTCTCCCCTGCATCTGGCGCTGGCTGACAAAGGGGAGATCACCTGAACGAACCAGAGTGGCCTCACAGTGGGTAAGTATATGCATCTATCTTACACAGGTCAGTCCAAAATAGGTGTTCGTATGGGAGAGAGCATTTTTAGGACGTTTCATTGTTGCATGTAATTCTACTTTAAATGGAGCAGGGAGACAAATGCCATAAAGGGTTCTTCCTACAGAGAGCATTTACTGCCCTCTATCAGGTCCTAAACTACATCCAGAACCCAGTTTGTAGAAACTTCAAGTAGTATCACTCAGCAATAAGTACATCTTTTGCTGGTGGTACTACATCCCACAAGACTTCTCATCAGATTTCCTTGACAAAGGACCATTTGGTGTTACTTTGCTACTAGATTATGATTTGCCATTAAACCTTTGCATGTAACATTTTTTGCAATGTTGCCATATCTCATAACGTTTGGCTCATCACTGCGCATGTCTTAATTTTTATTTTTAAATCAGGTATAAACATGGTCTAGGTATTGCTGGACCTTTATGGTACTGAAAATCTTCAGAATTGTAGAGGTCATTTGACTAGAATAATTGTCCGTAGATCAGTAGCAAACACTGTAGTTTTTAGTTGTGAACAGAACATATCCCCTCCCTTCACCATCCAAAACTTCACAGTTCACCCCGGATGTAGGAGCGGGCATTATTGGCGTACAAGAGCATTGAGTGTGTGAGTGCCAGGCTGTGTATGGGCCTGCAACATCATCTTTTCTGACTTACTAATTTCTCTTCCCCCTTAATCAATTGCCTGTTAAACAGACCGCCAATCTGGCTGAAGCCAATGCTTCTGAGGAAGATAAAATCAAAGCAATGATGTCACAGTCTGGCCATGATTATGACCCCAGCAAGTAAGTGAACCTGCCAATAGAAGTTCCACCCCATTCACTTCTCATGGAATAAGGGGGGTTTTTAAACTAGTAATATGTTCTCTCTTAACTTTCTGACAGCTATATGAAGAAGCCACTTGGCCCCCCACCACCAACATATACGTGTTTTCGATGTTTAAAGCCTGGCCATTACATTAAGAACTGTCCTACAAACGGAGTAAGTGCATGTCTCAGACATTTGGCAGTCATTCACATGCTAACAGTACTTTTTTTAATGGGATGCATCCTTGTTTTGTTTTATGTTTAATATAAAATGCAAGATCAGCTTGATGTAAATCTTTGAATCAGTCTGTGTTTTTATTTTACAAAACCTTGTTTCTATGCTTAGTTTGTAATACCTCCACATCAGGGCTGCCTGAAATTAAAAGTTCACCTTTCGTAACATGTTACATATTACACTCCTATTCAGGGTGTAACATGTTATGAAAGGACCGGCGCCCGCTCCCCCCGATGTACAGGTACACTGACATGTCTGCAGGTGTCCTTGCATGGCACCAGCAATCTGCAACCCATAAAGGATGCATTTGGTTTTTTTATTCATTCAACCAGTAGGTTGAACGGAAATAAACATTTGATTCCCCCATCAACACACTGTGTTGATGAGGGAATCCCTCCCACAGAGCTATTGTATTCTGACAGTAGGGAGGTTGGTTGTCTACAACACACTAGATGAATTGAAATTCCAAGGGTCCCTGCTGAACTGGTTGAATTTTGGTTGGCTTAACCCAACATACAACCAGAATGCAGATTAGGAACGTCGGAAGTCCACATTTGTTCTGGAAGTAACTTATTGAAGCCAGAAGGTTGGCATTAGAGCTAGGCTGCTAGTGTTCTTAATCTCTTCACGCCGGCCGCACGCAAATGTGCGGCCTCCTGGTGTCTGGGCCTAGATGCTGAGCGGCCACACATTTGCATGCAATTAACAAAAAATATATGTGCTGAGAGCACGCACCCTGCACGCTCCCAGCACACATGTCCTGTACTCACGGAAAGGTCCTGGTCTGCTCTTTCGATCGGGACCTGTCCCAATCATGTGACCACTGTGATGATGCGTCACGGAGGTCACATGATCCCTAAACCCCGTCCCGCCTCCCGGCTTCTGAAACTCTTTAAAGGGCCGGCGGGAAGGGGTTAAAGTGGATCATCACCCTCCCCAATGTTTATTTTTATAACTTCTAGTTACCCCTGGTTGCAGTCTCTGCACAGTTCAGATGGTCGCTCACCCCAGTGGATCCAGTGTTGTCCTGCTTAGATGCTCTTCTATTCTGCCACAGACGGGCTCCCGCATCACCATGTTCTTTGTGACGTCATCGGGAAGCTGCCAACTTTTCTTGGTTCAGCCGAAAGGCCTCCCAATGATGACCTGCTTGACCCAGCCCCCCTCCTCCTTTGTTAATTAAACACTATGCCTCATATGTAATTTTGAAATCCCAGGGAGAACGGTACATGTCATTCGCCTAGGTGAGTGATGAACAGGGAGGACGGACCTGAACCTTTTTAATTAACCGCTTGCCCGCCACCCTTTGGTAGAACTACCGCTGCAGGGCTGTGCACAATCACGAGTATATATACGTGATTTGCATTTCTGGGTAGGGGGCTACGGATGTCAATCACCGGGTCCCGGCCAGAGATTCCCCGCCAGCGATCGCCGAGTAAAACGTGCGGGAGAGACCTGTGTGTAAACAACACAGGTCTCTCCTGCCAGCAAGAACATGCTGCTGTGTATTTCTCTGCACAGCGGAGAAATACACAGCAGCATGTTTCCCTAATAAAACACACACAGCACATTATGGAAAACAGCACACAGTTAACCCTTTGATCACCCCAGATGTTAACCCCTTCTTGCCCATTGTCATTAGTACACTCAGTGCTTTTTATTAGCACTGATCACTGTATTAGTGTCATTGTGATGTCAGTGGCAGTTAGTTCCACCCATTGTCAGAATGCCCATCGCAGTCCCGCTATAAGTCACTGAACGCCGCCATTACTAGTGTAATAAAAATTCCAGTATATATACCACCATTTTGTAGACACTATAATTTCCACGTAAACCAATTAATTTACATGTATTGAGATTTTTTTTTTAAGCAAAAACATGTAGCAGAATAGGCCTAAATTGATGAAGAAATTAGATTTTAAAATTTTTTTTACTGGATATGTTTTATAGCAAAAAGTAAAAAAAAAAATTTTTTTTTTTGGGTTTAAAATTGTCAGTCTTTTTTTGTTTTATAGTGCAAAAAACGCACAGGTAATCATATACCAGTGGAAGAAAGCAATATTTGTGGGGGAAAAAAGGACATACATTTCATTTATGTACAATGTTGCATGACCACGCAATTGTCAGTTAAAGTAACGCAGCACCGTATCGCAAAAAATGGCCTGGTCAGGAAGGGGGGGGGGGGGTAAATCCTCTGGAGGGCAAATTATTATTATACAAGATTTATATAGCGCCAACAGTTTGCAAATGGTTAAAAAGAAATGAATCTTTGTGTAGTGGATCGGGGGAGAGAGGGGAGCTTTCTATTGAGGGTGAAGATGCTCTTTAAGAGGCTAAACCCCCAGTATGCATGAGGTCCAGTGTGTAACTGTGGCTGGAGGGCACAGTGCACTGTCCAGCACCTCTGCTGACAGCGAGTCAAATCCCGAGAGTCTGGCTGCTGCACGGTGTACTCAGTAGTACTTCAGTTTAGAGGCTTATGTGTCTAGCGACTTAATGTCTGCAACACAGACTGCTTGCGTTCCAAGCAATTGTCTCTGGATGCATACTGCCCTAAATGTACATACTGCTAGGTACATTGACCAGTCCTGTCCAGCTGTCAGACTCTCAAAGAGCTTGGCAGGCTGCAGGTAGCAGAGCTGGACTTTGTTCTTGTGTTGTCCAACCACAGCTATACACTGGAACCTCATTCATCAGAGCTAAACACCCAGTGTGCATGAGGCCTTAAGTGTATGTAAACCAAAGACAAAAATGTAATATATTGCAACTTGCCAATGGCTACATTAAGTTTTTCTTTATTTCTGGCTAAGAACATTTTCACAGCGTACAAAAGATATGTGTTCTTGTCAGAAATGCAATGTCCTTTTCTCTTTATTATAAGCTGAAAGGCCAGCATAAAGAGTGATCTCTCTTATTTGTAAACTGCTAGTCCAGTCTGTGCAACGACTCCTACCATAGATACCATAAAGGGTAATAGACATGAAATAATAAAAAAAAATGCAGCCTTTAAACCCAAGCTGTCATATTTTTATTTTTGCATTTTATATACCCTTTTAAAAGCTGAGCAGAGCTGCTATAGCTGCTAATCCACCCTCCCTAGTGGCGAATTGCACATCTATACATTAAATATGACCACAAACACGTGTAGGACTGGTGTCGGTAGGAAGGTTTACAAAAAAAAAAAGTGGGAAGGGAAGAGCCTCCAAGTGTAGCATGAACTAAATTTAGGAAAGTAAAGCCAAATGCCATTCACAATTAAAAGCAATGTAGAAGGCTCATCACAGTATGAAACCGCTGTCGATGATAGAAGTCATCTCTTCTTGGTCCACAATATCTGTGTCTGGGACAGCCGTTCTCGTAGAGACAGCGTTCAACTTCCTGGAGCCACCATGGAACACAGCATGGATGAGATGACATTGGGACAGTGATGTTTACAGTTTTGATAAGAGTTGCCGTTTTTAACATATGAATTGCCAATTTATGAGCTTAATAAAAATTGTTGGTTTGCTGCATTATTTAGGTGGTGCGTCTTTTTTTTCTGCTTGCATTCTGTTTCTAGAGTTCACTTCTAACTCTTGGATAGCAGGCCTCTGAATCGCCTGTCAAATGCCTCTGAAAAGTGTTCTTCTGCTGACACTTGAATATCTCTGGTGCTTTTAAAATAACTAGAAATATTTCATGGTCACTTTTATGTGTTGTTTGCTAGAGCTCTTTGGTGGTATGATGAATTTGCCACTACTAAGCAGAAGTACATTTTTAACCTGTCAAAATTTACATTAGGTGGGCACCGCTTTAGGAGGTAGTTAAGATCAAGAACAAAGTAAACCCATTACTATTGCTTGGATACATGGATTTGTAGTCCTAATGACCTAAATAGAAATTTTAGCTCTCATTCAGTTTTTATTCTTTCACTGATTGATGGCTGAAAGGAAGGGCAGAGGTTGCCCTAAAACTGCACATTTGACATGACTTCTCTAAAGTGTGTGAAGAAAGAACCATTCCCATTCTCCATAGGATGGAGCAACAAAAGCAATTTTTTTTTTCTTTTCAGTTTTGATCTTGAGGCATAAGCTAGCCATACACAGCTCAAATTTTGGTCAATCCCTGATGAAATTCGAGCCGTAGGTGGCCCTGGTAACACCACCCAGGTCAACAAAAGTTGATTTAAATATTGACTGAACCATATGGAAAATTATTGGCTGAACAGTTGTTGCCACCTGTCAGCTGCAATCACTGTTGTGGATGTATGAACTCAGTACCTGGCAGTGCAGATTCCTCCATCCACCTGGAATCTATTTAAATGGATTTGATTACCTTTGTTGTTGGCCTGATCGCATCCAAATTAAGTAAATTTAATATTTGTGTTAAAGCACAAAAATTTGACTTCTTGCCCTGAATGGGTTATAAGAATTATACCTATGTTTTTTCCAGCTTTTGGAGAATATTTCAGACCTGATAATGTTGACCTTTACTGTATGTGTTTACCTCTTAGGACAAAAGTTTTGAGTCTGCTCCCAGAATAAAAAAGAGCACAGGTATCCCTCGGAGTTTTATGGTGGAGGTTGAAGATCCCAATATGAGGGGAGCCATGCTTACAAACACTGGAAAATATGCCATACCAACTATTGATGCGTAAGTGTCTTGTGCTGCATTTATAATACAGGGACAGGATGATTATATATCTTGCATTAACCTGACTTCTAATCTTGTTTTGCAGTGTGGCATATGCCATGGGGAAAAAGGAAAAGCCTCCTTTTCTGCCTGATGAACAATCTTCCTCTTCTGAAGAGGAAGATCCCATACCTGATGAGCTGCTGTGCATGATATGTAAAGATATTATGACCGATGCAGTGGTAATACCTTGCTGTGGGAACAGCTATTGTGATGAATGTGAGTAGCTCTGCATTTGTATTTACACCTTTTACAAAAGAACACCAAAAGGGCGGAAATGTACTATGTACACTGAACATGTGTCAATTAATAGAATGGCATAAGAATTATAAAAATTATATAATAACAAAAATAAGAACGTGTGTGTATATATGCTTGAATGAGCTATATAATGAGAGGCCACCTTACACATAAATTGTATCATATACAGTTACAATTTTAGTTGTTTTCAGGTATTTACCAAAACATATTCAGGCTATAGTTGTATAATGGATATGGACGGAAAGAAAGTACTCTCAGGTTTAATTTGAGGGTATGTACATCCAAATTGGAGGAAGGGTTTAGGAATTACAGCCCTTAAGAGTAGCCATCCCCCTTTTTCAAGGGACCAAAAGTAATTAGACAATTGAATCAAAAGCTGTTTCGTGGCCAGGTGTGGGCGACTCCTTCGTTATTTCTTCATCAGTTTAGCAGGTAAAAGATCTGGAGTTGATTCTAGGTGTGGTATTTGGAATCTCTTGCTGTGAACCTACATCATGCATTCAAAGGAGCTGTCCATGCAAGTGAAACAGGCCATTGTTAGGCTTCAAAAACTAAACAAATCCATCAGAGAGATAGCAGCAACATTAGAAGTGGCCAAATCAACAGTTTGGTACATTCTGAGGAAAGAAGAGCGCACTGGTGAGCTCAGCAACATAAAAAGGCATGGACGTCCACGGAAGACAACAGTGGTGGATGATTGAAGGATCCTGTCTATGGTAAAGAAAAATTAATTCACAACATCCAGACAAGTGAAGGACACTCTTCAGGAGGTGGGCGTATCATTGTCAAAGTCTACAATCAAGAGAAGACTTCACGAGAGCAAATACAGAGGGTTCACCACAAGGTTTAAACCTTTCATAGGTCTGAAGAATAGAAAAGCCAGATTAGACTTTCCCAAAAAAAAAATCTTAAGCCAGACCAGTTCTGGAAAAGCATTCTTTGGACAGATGAAACTAAGATTAATCAGTATCATAATGATGGGAAGAAAAAAGTGTGGAGAAGGCTTGGAACAGCTCATAATCCAAAGTGCACAACGTCAACTGTAAAACATGGTGGAAGCAGTGTGATGGCATGGGCATGCGTGGCTTCCAGTGGCACTGGGTCGTTGGTGTTTATTGATGATGTGACAGAAGCAGCCGGATGAATTCTGCAGTGTTTAGAGACATGCTGTCAGCCAAGATTCAACCAAATGCAGCAAAGGTGATTGGACAGCGCTTCACAGTACAGATGGACAATGATCCAAAACACACTGCAAAAGCAACCCAGGAGCTTTTGAATGGAAAGAAGTGGAATATTCTGCAATGGCTGAGTCAGTCACCTGATCACAACCCAATTGAGCATGCATTTCACTTGCTGAAGGCAAAACTAAAGGCAGAAAGAGCCACAAAGAACAAGTGAAGACAGCTGCAGTTAGAGCCTGGCAAAGCATCAGAAAGGAGGAATCCCAGTCTTTGGTAATGTCCATGGGTTCCAGACTTCAGGCAGTCATTGTCAGTAAAGGATTCTCAACAAAATATTAAAAATGAACATTTTAGTTATGATATTCATTTGTCCAATTACATTTGAGCCCCTGAAAATGGAGGGACTGTGTATGAAAATGGTTGAAGTTCCTAAAATGTGTACTTGATATTTATGTTCAACCCCTTGAATTAAAGTTGAAAGTCTGCACTTCAAATTCATTTGGATTTTGTTTTAATTTATCCTGCTGGCATACAGAGCCAAAAGTATGAAAATTGTGCCTGTGTGCAAATATATATGGACCTAACTGTATGTGCCTTTATATTATCTATGTGCCTAATCAGAGAATACCAACAAACTTATATGTACCTAAACTGAGAACTTGCAGAATAATTTTGAATCACATTTTGATTTCTTAAATTAACTGGTAGCCCCAAATCCCAGTTCAATCGGTTATGCAAATACAAATTTACTTTATGAAGTTCTCACTACTACCTCCCACATCTTGGCCTATCAGTGTGATGGCAGGCTTAAGTAACCAGTAACCTATCTGTCATTGGAAGGACGTGGCTCCGAGCTCCAATGTAAAGGGTTAGTTCACCTTTTCAGAAAAAATGTAAAAGTAGACAGACACCAGGCACCCTTCTCACCCCCCTCCTTCCTTTCCCAGATCCCTGCTGTACTTACTACCAGGGTTGCCAAGTTGTCAGCCGCTCCGGTAGTCCAATGATTTGAAATCCCTTCTCTTCTCCCTCAGCGCTTACAGGACAGACCCGGTGGTTTCTGATCGGTCACATATTCCGGTAACAAAAAAATAATTCCCTCACTTTGGACCGTTTTTTTTTTTACTCCAGTTGGGTCTCAGGACAGGAAGAGAGGAGAAATCTCTCCCAAAGTGGTACAGCCAGGATAAAGTGTGCAGTATTCTTTGAATGTATGAAAATGTGGATTACTAGTGAGTTGTGACATAGTGGGGTCTGAAAAAAAATGGAGCAAGGGAAACAGACAATTTGAAAAAACAAACCTTAGCTGTTTTTTTTTTTTTTTTTTTTTCCTACTGCATTGTACAAAATGAGTTTATATGGGTGTGTCCTGCATTTTCTTTGTAATTTTCATAGTCAAGTTAAGAGTTGTGTGGATCACATCTGATGGGTTGGTTGAAACACTATCATGGTAAGTCCATTAAGAATGCCGTGTTTTCTCTGTTATAGGTATCCGCACGTCTTTATTGGAATCCGATGAGCATACGTGCCCCACTTGTCATCAAAATGATGTTTCACCAGATAACTTAATCGCCAACAAATTCCTGCGTCAGGTAATAGCAACCTTCCATAAATGATGCTAATTTTTTAATGGTATCGATCAGTTTTGATTATAAAAACTGTGAAATGGGTCATACAATGCACTACTATCCTTTCCATGTAAAAAACAGATGGCCTTAGGTGGCTTTGATAAGTTTGATCACTTTTGTGATCAAGGGTCGGATAAAGTAGAATATTTGCTAGAAAACTGCTCTGCATTGAAGAACTACTCCAGTTTCACAAGATATGTGGATTAGGGTGAGGTGAGTGCAATGATATGTGCTTCCTATCCAGACATAGTCAGCAAAACAGCTAAAGTGTACATAAAATGAAAAAAAAATTATCTATACATTTTTTTAAAGTGTTACTAAACCCTGCATTCAATTTATCTGGTCTTCCACAGTACACAGAATGTGGAAATTCAATTATTTTAGTAAATGGCAACTGTTTTTGCAGATCAAGCAGATTCTGTTCTAGGAAGATGTAGGACCCCTGACCTCTGTCTGGACAGTGCTGATTGGCTCTGTGCTGATCACATGCACTCTCCCAAGAAAAAAAAACAAAAAACTTTAGTAATACACACCAAACTGAGCATGTGCAGTGTGTCTCCACACCATGTCTTATCAGGAGATATGGTGGGGACACTGGAAGAAGGGGAGGATAAGAGAAGTCATGATCAAACAGCATTTTTACACAATGCAGAGGATTTACTGCATATATAGGCTGATTTTACTGTTGTGGGTTTAGCAAAACTTTAATGTATACTTGAGCAGTTTCGCTGAAGATGTCTGGACAGGAGACGCAAATCATTAAACTCACCTCACCCTAAACCAGATATCTTGGGAAACTTGAGAGTGAGAGATCTACACGCGCACACACACACACACGCACACCACTTTATTAGGTACACCTGCTTAATTGCACGGTAACGCAAATTGCTAATCAGCCAATTACATGGCAGCAACTGCATTTAAATGTCAAGACGACTTGCTGACGCTCAAACTGAGCATCAGAATGGTGAAGAAAGGGGATTTAGGCAACCATGGCATGGTTGTTGGTACCAGACGGGCTGGTCTGAGTATTTCAAAAACTGCTGATCTACTGGGATTTTCACGTACAACCATCTCTAGGGAAATCAAGAGTCATCAGACCAGGCAACATTTTTCCAATCTTCTGTTGTCCAATTTTGGTGAGCCTTTGCGAATTGTAGCCTCCATTTCCTGTTCTTAGCTGGCAGGAGTGGAACCCAGTGTGGTCTTCTGCTGCTGTGGTCCATCTGCTTCAAGGTTCAACATGTTCAGCATTCAGAGATGGTATTCTGCATACCTTGGTTGTAATGAGTGGTTAACTGTGTTACTGTTGCCTTTCTATCATCTTGAACCAGTCTTCCCATTCTCCTCTGACAACAACAAGGCATTTGTGTCCACACATATGCCGCTCACTGAACATTCTCTTTTTCAGACATTCTCTGTAAACTGTAGAGTTGGTTGTGCGTCAAATCCCAGTAGTTCAGCAGTTTTTGAAATACTGACTTTTTAAAAATTTTAAAACAACCATGCTTGTTCAAAGTCACCTAAATCCCCTTTATTCCCCTTCCATTCTGATGCTCAGTTTGAACTTCACCACATCTAGATGCCTAAATGCTGCCATGCGTTTCCAAGCAATTGAAAAGGTGTTCCTAATAAAATGGCCAGTGAGTGTATACATACAGTGTATATCTCAGTAAATAGAAAACAAAAGTTTTTCTCATTAGCATTCAATTTTCATTTGTAAGAAATCTTCATATCCCTCTACTTCTGTTTAAATAAACCATCTTATACCACTAAACTGACATTGCATTAAACAAATGTTTTTTCCTTTCTATTATGGAAAGGTAAAAATATTGTAAAACCAGCTTGGCATGTTCCATCTGTAATTGCACTTTGATGTAGTCCATGTATTGATAGGAATCAGGAAGCAAAACTGCATATAGTGTAAAACAAAAGGCTCACATCCAGCTTGTGCAACAAAGAACTATGAGATTGAGCATCTCTATTGCAAACAAGCACTCGTGTGAGCATCCCTCTATTCATCCTGCAGCTCATGTGTCAGGGGTGAATCTTGCTGTGCCTCTGCACCAAAATGCCTCTTCTCAGTTAAGTCAGCACCAACACATTTCGTCATAATGGACCTTGCCAAGGCATTAGGTGCTCCCCTTCCTGCCCAGTTCTTCCCTACAGCACTTTGCTTCCTGCCCAGTTCTACCCTACAGCACTTTGCTTCCTGCCCAGTTCTACCCTACAGCACTTTGCTTCCTGCCCAGTTCTACCCTACAGCACTTTGCCTCCTGCCCAGTTCTACCCTACAGCACTTTTCTTCCTGCCCAGTTCTTCCCTACAGCACTTTTCTTCCTGCCCAGTTCTTCCCTACAGCACTTTGCTTCCTGCCCAGTTCTTCCCTACAGCTTTGCTTCCTGCCCAGTTCTTCCCTACAGCTTTGCTCCTGCCCAGTTCTTCCCTACAGCTTTGCTTCCTGCCCAGTTCTTCCCTACAGCACTTTGCTTCCTGCCCAGTTCTACCCTACAGCACTTTGCTTCCTGCCCAGTTCTACCCTACAGCACTTTGCTTCCTGCCCAGTTCTACCCTACAGCACTTTGCTTCCTGCCCAGTTCTACCCTACAGCACTTTGCTTCCTGCCCAGTTCTACCCTACAGCACTTTTCTTCCTGCCCAGTTCTTCCCTACAGCACTTTGCTTCCTGCCCAGTTCTTCCCTACAGCGCTTTGCTTCCTGCCCAGTTCTTCCCTACAGCACTTTGCTTCCTGCCCAGTTCTTCCCTACAGCTTTGCTTCCTGCCCAGTTCTTCCCTACAGCTTTGCTTCCTGCCCAGTTCTTCCCTACAGCACTTTGCTTCCTGCCCAGTTCTCATCTACTAGTTTTATGGTGAAGAGCTGGACAGGAAGGAGAGAGCTTGATGCCATCACAATATCTATTACAACATAAACACCCAGGGTAACAAAGCTGTATAAAACTGAACATCAGTATTTTTTCCATCCAGCTCTCCTCAATAGCACTAGCAAAGGAGAACTGGGTGGGAAGGGGGGTGCTTGATGGAGCTTTGTAGGTGGCCCTTATTCTCTAAGATACAGCAAAATATCAGAATTGCTCAAGGCACCTGAGGACCCCCGGTGTGTGCCTTTACCAAATTTGGCAAAGCAACAAATGGCAGATTTATTTTATCTATATCAGGTACTTATATAGCGTTGTCAATTTACGCAGCGCTTTGCATACATTTATTGTACATTCACATCAGTCCCTAACCCTCAAGGAGCGGACAATCTAAAGTCCCTAACTTACATTCATACATACACATACTAGGGACAATTTAGACAGAAGCCAATTAACCTACCAGCATGTCTTTGGAGTACCCGGAGGAAACCCATGCAGTCACAGGGAGAACATGCAAACTCCAGGCAGGTGGTTCCGGGTTTGGGATTCGAACCAGCGACCCTAGTACTGCCAGGCGGAAGTGTTAACCATTTAGCCACTGTGCTGCAGATGCTCAAATTAGTTGAACAATAAAGTATACATTAAATATAAAATTTACATTAAAATATATCTATAGCCATTTTTATAGCCACTATTTGCTTTTGTCATTACAAAGGAAAATTCTGTAAACGTCTGTAATAACTTTGCTTTGTCTAGGCTGTGAATAATTTTAAGAACGAAACCGGTTATACGAAGAGGATTCGCAAACAGCAGTCTGCTCCACAGCAGCGGCAGCAACAGCAGCATCAGCATCAAACAGCCCCAGCCCCACGTACTGCAACACAGCCATCTCGTCCATTGACCTCTCGCCAGCAAGATCCTCTTATTGCTCCCACTACTACTACTACTACTACTACTTCTACTACTACAACTACTAGTGCTATTGTACCAGCAACAACTGCTGCAGCAACTTCTGCTTCACAGACTACTACTACAAGCCTTTCCACTGCACCCAGTACAACACAGTCCAACCCTCCAGCTAATGCTGTGCCACAGACTGCTCCCCCTACAGACCCACCAGCTGCACAGCCAGTACCTGCACCTAAGGAGAGAGAAAAAACAGAGTCTGTATTCCAGTAAGTCTTTAGAGCAGCTTATAACAATTTAGTTCACCCAGTTTATATAATGATGTACAAACCTTAATAGTTCAGCTGAAATTTATACTGCTAGCCATGCATAAAGTTCCGTTTGAGGTTTCAGTAAGAAAATATGAGCCTCCAGGCTGCTTATAATTTGCTGTCTTTTTTGCTAACCCATAGTGCTATGAGAGTTCTTTATTACATATTTAGTATGTGTTTGTAAAAGAAATATTGCAGACATAGTGAATATTAAGGTAACCTATAGAGATATTGACCATTGAACAATATCCCCCCCCTTCTTCCATTTAAGTGGGCTTTAATGCCTGGAAGATGGCACAGTTTCTGTATAATGTGACCAACATGATTGACTGTCAGGGGATCAAGAGTCCATCCTGTTTCCTCCTGACCAGAAGCCTTGACTGAGAGCTGTTGTGACGGCTTGCGCAGCGTGCTGGGAGTGTGCAGTGGGTGTGCTTTCAACATATACAAACTGGTGCTGCCTTGGACACGTGTGGCGGCTGAGTGTTAGCCCACCTTTCCTGCTGCCGCATATTTCTTGCAAAGTCAGAAAATGGTTACCTTACATAATAAAAATGCATAGAACATCATTTTAAAAATTAAACAAGTGTGTGTCCCAAATCATTATAGTTTCACTTTAGGTTGTTAAATAGTGCACCTTATCATTCAGGGTAAGCTGTGCACGCTGCTATTCAATTTTATTAATTCCCTTTCACAGCAGAAATGTCAGGCTGGAAGAGCCCTTTAGAGGCTGGTCTGAGCTCAAGGCAACAACCTCTCCAGGCTGCTGGACAGTGATCCAATTGGTGCCTGTGGGGCACCAAACAACAGTTCTCACCCAAGATAAACATATATCTATTAAAAAGAGTTCTATATTCACTGCATACAATTCACTGCACACATGTTCATTTTCTAACATCATCATTCATCTAGCAATACAAATATTAGTTACAATACAATATATTTGACAATCCTATCTCCATTCATGTTGTGAGTTCTGCCTGCTTTCTGGCCATCTCTTTCAATAACTTCTTGGATTCCCTGCGTGCTTTGCAGCTGCCTCTCTGCAGTTTGCGTTCAGCTTCTGAGGACTATATAACCCATGATAGTTTGCTGCCTGCAAGCAGTGATTCCTGTAGTAACTCCTGAAACTCCTTCCCTCAGCACCTCTGTAGTTCAGAAGACACGCTCTCTGAAATGTGTGACACGGCAGTGCTTACTCATAGGGAATAGTGAATATATGTTACAGAATTCAATGAAGTAAATGGGAGGGATCTTCACAAAGTTAGTTTGCAGTTTTCAGGATTGTTCAGATGTATAGGAGGAGGCAAGAAATAGATGTGGAAATTAATATCCTAAATATTAGCTATTGATATGCTTTATGGTTCCCATGATTAATTTTGATAGAGTGGCTCTAGTGCATCAGTAATAATGTACTGTTCTTGCAAAAAGATGCAATGCTACTTTAGTACTTTGCTTTTGTTTCTTTTTATGCTTTTCTTGTTGCTTATTTACTTCTGTTTTTTAAACCAGCAGTCAAGAGAAGAGAGAGAGTTCCCGCTCAGGTACTGGGTCTTCGGCTCCAGTTACATCAGCTGGTATTTTACCTCCACCTAACAGCCTACTCATAGGAGACAAGGTACGTGTCTGTTACACGCTGGCTTATATTTAGGCCTATATTTGACCCCATGAGCAGTGAAATCTAATGTATAATTTTGTATTTTGTGTTCCAGGGCTTCCATGTTCCAGTACTTGGCCAGGCGCCTCCTGTTGCTCACAACCTTCCTCCCCCAAGTAAGAAGTAGCTATAGTTTTTGGTGGCAATGTCATAGAGTCTGCCTTCTACCATAAAGTGTATGCTTGGGCAAAAGAAAACAAAATCCAGTAAATTTCTGTAATACATGCACATTTCCTATGATTTTTCTCTGAAAAAAAAATGCTATTGGTACAGAATAATAGCTTTTGGCCTGCCGGAAATCCAGTGGTTTCCTAACGTCCTGTGGGGGGCTGACAACGTTGCCTGTGCTGCACCAAAATCTAAAGCAGAGTTATGAGCTCTGTCCAGTTCACTGCTGTGACCTACAGAACCCCTCCACATGATAATATTGCAGGGGGTTTGGCCTCAGACATGCAGCCACCATATCCGAGGATTGGTAAGCTGTAACATATTAACCTGTTGATGCCCAGGTAACACGTGCAGCAAAAGAGTGGGCTTTAAAGCCTACACGTTGCACAAATGCATCGCTGGGCAGCCAATGTTTCTGTGCTGAGTATGTGTTCCCAGGACAGCTCTCTGTCCCAATGAATGATCTGTAGCCATCAGGACCAGCTCTCGATCATGTGATGAATGTGACAGCCAATCTTTCATTCACAACTTTTTAAAGGGACACCCAGCGCAGGCAAGAAAGGGTTACATTTTAAAATCAGGCTTTTTCTTATTTATTTTAGATAATTAAGAACGGAAAATTATATTTTTAAAGCTGTTTTTTTTTTTTTTTTCCAGCTCCGCTTATGCGAGCCACTATTTCCAGGCCATCTGTCCCAAGGCCACACATGGGATGGGACAGGTCAGTATTTCATATCCTCTATTCTTATTGGTAATATGGTTATAATAGTATTGCATTTATTAGATGTAGTATAAACTGCACTTAAATGGTGAGCTGCAATTGTGAAGATAATGTTTATCATAAAGATTTAATTTTTGTTTACTTTCCAGCTAAGTTTTATTTTATTGTCAGTAAGTGATATTTGAAGTTGCAGTCTAACTTTTTTTTTGTTTATATTTTGCAGCCATAGTCGTGGGCGGCATCCTCACAGTGATCGTCCACCTAGAAACCAAGGGCCATCTATAGCCTCCTCAGGCCCAGTCTATGTCCCCCCTCCAACGCCTCTTTTTCCTCCACCACCACCACATGGACTTCAGCTTCCTCCTGGGGTGCCACCACCTCAGTTTCCTCCACAGTTCCCACCTGGCCAGCCTCCAACTGCCGGCTTTAATGTTCCACCACCAGGATTTCCCTCAGCACCTGCTACAGTATCTGCTCCATGGGTTGCCCCAGCCATTCAGGGTGCTCATGCCAGTACTCTACCAGCCCAGTCCCTGGCACCTCCTTTATCCAAAGAGGAGTTTTATAGAGAACAGCGTCGCCTGAAAGAGGAGTAAGTAACTAACCTTGTTCTCTTTAGGTTGCTCTTTTGGTTTTTGTAGTGAGTTTTGCATTCTGCATCAAGTGCCAAGTGTGCCAGTGTCACTTTGCTTTTAGTGGTATGCAAATAGGGTGAAAATAGTTGACCCAATGCCATTTTTGGGGTTAATTGAAACCTCTGCGCAGCTTATTTATACACAGCTTGTAACAAGAAATGTTAAAGTGAAGATATTCTGGCTTCTAAAGAAAATATGATGTATGTTTGTATGTAATTTATAAATAAACATATTTTATGGAAAATCTTTGAGACACGTTTGGTGCCTTAAAAAGTCCCATTTATTACACTTGGAACTGAACCTATTCTGGCCTTACCTAATAATACTGCTGTTAAGCTGGCTGGGCCGGACAAATTTCAATCCATGTATGTATACAAGCCGATCTGTGTATCAACTTGTGTTCAACCATCATGTCTGTTTTCTCCCGAATGGTTGGTGCCACCGGCTAGTCAGCAACGCTGATCATTGTATTCTGACTGCAGGGAAGTCTCCCCACTGTCAGAATACAATGTCACAGCTGGAGGGATTCAAGGTGGATGGGGGAATCAAGGCATTTTCTTTCATTCAACCCACTGATTGAACAAAAAAATGCATAGTGCATGGGCTGCCTTAGTTCTAAATTTGAGCTCTGTGAAACACCACCCCTTCCCAGCGCTTAGCCCTACCTCTGCCATCAAAGGTCCAACTGCTGGAGCATTTACTATGCTTTTTCTATTTGGCATTTTAACGGCAAGAGTAGAGTGTACAGCCTTAGCCTAAGGATCTTAAAGACACCCCTTTTTGGAATCAATTTGAAGACTAAGATAGCTACTTCTAAGCACCATTATACTTATACAGAAATTGTGATCTGTAGGCCTGCTTTAGTTCACTTTAGCATTTGAGTATAAACCATTTCAAATGAATTTGTAATATTCAAAAAATTATACAAAACAAACATTGAGTGTATTTATCTATTGAGCTAAAGCCTTTCCTTTTTAAATGAGAAAAGGAAGTCCTATCAGCTGCACTCCAAACAATTCACTTTATTGAACCAAGATAAAACCAATACAAACAGTAGAAATACAGTGGGGGACTGGAAGGTAAACACGTTTCAGGCTAAAGACCGCTTATTCATTACCCTTTTCTTTTTAAAATGCATATTTTGCGTTAGACTTCTTTTCTCTCTCCTCTGTTAAAGGGATACACAAAGTCTGTAACCTTAAAGTGACACTAAACATCTTTATTCTCCAAAAATAATCCATACAAATCCATGACTTTATGGCCCTGCAATCTATTTTTCATTAAACAGTTTTACTGTTCGTTTCTGCCTCATTGTAACATTCTCTGTGATCTCCTGAACCTCACCTTTTCCTCGCGTTCGTGCATTTGGAACGAACAGTGAACGTTAGTTGTCAGGTGTACTGCTCTATGCACACTACACATTCCACAGTCCCATTTGGGAGCAAGCAAGAGAAGGGTGGCTGCGTTCCTACATACAGTGTTGGATCACACAGACCGAACATAGCCACTCTCTAACAGGAAGTCAGATCACAGCACAAAAAAGGAATTCGGAAGAGGCTGAGAGCAATACACAAGGTACTATCTTAATTGTAGTACAGGACTCACAACTTTATTCGTACGCCATGGATTATAGGCTGAGACCTTACGATGATTGGACTCTGTCAAGCTTTTGATGATACGCCAGCCTGGGGTGCCTCCCCTTAACCCTTCCTCACTCCGTGAGCCTTCAGTTTTTTGCTAGTGTCTGAAGGTGATGGACCTCTTCTTCTTCACTTAGAAATCCACTTTACTCGTTTATTATTTTGTCTTTGGTATTTTCTTAGAATTCTTCAGTCATCTCTCACTCTTTTGTCCTCAAAAGCTTGTGCTCACTGGTGTGTTCCCAAAAGCTTGCCAGTGTTCAATCACCTGAAGGTACAAGTCTATTACCCATGGTGTATGAATAAGTTGCGCGTGTCCTGTACTAAACTCTATATGGAATGTACAGGTAAGTCATAATTCCTCTTTTTTGGGGTTAAGAGTACACACTTGAATAGATTTTTACATTTTTTTAAACCAGAATTTAGCATCATTTTAAAATTACTAACTGAAAGGAGGATTGAACAGTGGAAAACACAAAAACTTGTAGACCAGTCCAGGATAACCTCTCCCATTACTAGCATGGTCATTTGTCAGTGTTCTAGGATGGACATCTTTTCTGCAGCTCTGTGTGTTAGACTAACTTGTTTTTTGCTAATACCTTTTTTTTTAACCAAGATTCTTCTCTACGTTGCTGCTAGCCTTGTCAACTGCAGCTTGCTGGCTTGGCATTTGGAGTATTGTGTCCAGAACCCATTGGACTGGACATTGCTTGGGAAGCCTGAAATTTACCTTTGGGCACTAGGTTCCATATAATGCACTTTCCAGACTCCGTTCTGGTAAACGTTAGCTGTGGGTCACTTTTCAGGTCCGGGGCCACTCACATTGCATCAGCATTTGCCTCAGTCTCAAGCCAAGCACCAGGGGTCACTTCAATTACTTGGTTCCGTAGGCGCCTTTTTCTCCATTCTTGCTGGTTTTGCCACTAAAGGAGTTAACTCTGTGGGATTGATTGCTGATGTAATCTGTTTGAAGTTTAGCCCATTCTAGCTCTGTGCTCTTTCCTGCCGTACAGCGTTGGAGAAAACTCCCTCGCTGTTGCTCCTCCGTGCAGAGACATGGATCTGTGATTCATTTCTGCTGCCTGCCTACAATGAATTTGGGCACATCCAGCCATCTGTCACCTGCTGTCTTGGGTTTGAGTACCTGAGGCCTTGTCTTTTTTTCCTATCCTATACAGGGGTTGGACAAAATTATGGAAACACCTAGATAAAAGAACAAAATTGTTACCTAATATGATGTTGGAGCGTCTTTGGCATCCAAGACAGCCTGAATTCTCCTGGGAATTGTCAAATATAAGTCTTGGATGGTGGATAATGCAATCTGATACCACTCTTCATGCAAAAACCGTTCCAGTTCTTGCAGAGATGCCAGAGGCAGAAAACAAGACCGAACCTTGTTCTCCAAAATTAACCATAGTGGCTCTATGATATTGAGATCCTGAGACTGTGGCACCCAGCGAAGATGCAAGACTTCATCTGCATGCTCATCAAACCACGATTTGACAACACCAGCTGTGTGAATCTGAGTATTATTGTCTTGGGAAAGGGCACTGTCTTCAGGAAACAGTGGCTGCACCATCTGGTGCACATGGCTAAAATTTGTACGTAGTCGCTGACAGTGACTCTACCTTTCAAAGTGATGATGGGGTCTGCAGAATTCCATGATATGACCGCTTAAACATTGATTACGCCACCACCTTGCTATTCTGTTGACAGTCCTGGTCGTAAGTTCGTGATGATGTTCGCTAAACAAAAACATGTCTGGTGGTTGGGAACAGTGTGAAGCTCAATTCATTGGTCCATATTGCAGTCGTCCATTGATCGACAGTCCACGATTTATGGGTGTTGCACCACTCTCTCCTCTTCTGAGCATTAATATCGATCACTAGTGGTTTGGCAATTGCAGCTCGCCCGTGAATGTTTTGCTTATGGAGTTCCTTCCGCACAGTTTTTGTGGACATGGGCTTTGGGAGACTGGGAATCAGCTCTACAGTCATTTTTGCAGCAGCAGTTTTCTCTATATCCGTGTCACAATCCTGTGAATATCCTTTTGTCTCATTCAGTCTGTTGACCGCACTTATGCTTATCAGACGGTTTCCTGGAAACTGTATATGCGGTCATAACCTTTCATATACTGTACCTCGCGACACCACAAATAAATTGTCAACTTCGCTGGTCGGAGATTCTCTATGTGGAACTTCTTGCCTTCAGGTTCATTCATAAAGTGGACAGGTTTGTTTCCAGGTATAAGGATTCTCTAGTGATAGAGGATGCTCTGGTAGCGCTGTGCAATCAGTATGCTCTGATCTATGCCTTTCTTCCTATTAAACTTCCTTGGCTGCTGCACAGGATCAAAATGAAATGCATTCTAGTGATCCCCATCGCTCCAGACTAGCCCAGGTAGATGTGCTTGGCTGACATGGGAAGACGTCTGGCAGACACTCTGCGGGCTCTGTGGAACAGTCAAACTTCTGTCTCAAGGACCCATTTGCTATACGATCCTGCTGTACGATCACTGGCTTAATGATGTTAATGTTGAACCCCAGGTTCTGAGGGACAATCATTCATTCCTATGATGCGAACAACTAGAAAATCTAGGTATTTCATTAGACATTTTAAAGTATCTTCACTTGCCGGGAGTCTCCATGTTTCACCATGGGTCAAATCCTTTTTCCCCAAACTGGGCCAGTATTTGGCTCCCTGCAATATCAAGAATCAAGTTGCTGTCTTGGAGACCGTTGGCTTTTATTTTTCAAAACCTTTCTACCGGCGGTCTCCCATGTTGATTCCCTTATTCTTTTCCTTTGTGTATTGTGGAATCTAAATCTGGTTCTTTCTGCACTTTAGACATCACCATTTGAACCCAATAGACACATTCCCCTCTATACCCTTTAGATTGTAAGCGCCACGAGCAGGTCCCTCCTATTCCTTCTGTACTAAAATGTATTGTCATTGTACTATCTCCCTTATATTGTAAAGTGCTGCGCAAACTGTTGGCGCTATATAAATCCTGTATAAAAATAATAATAATACTCTTACCCATGAGGATCTGTTTCTTGTAGCCATCACCTCTGTAGGCAAGTGTCTCAATTATCAGCCTTATCCTGCAAGGAACCCTTTCTGGTTTTTCATAGGATGGTGTTGAGGTCCATGACTTCTGGTTTGCATAAAGTAGTTTCAGCCTTTCACCTCAACCAGGAGATTGTTCTTGTCCCTCTGCCTTGATCCAGTTTATCAAAAGGAAATTAACCTTCATTTTCTAGATGTGGCAGCCTCTGTGAGGGTCTCAGCCACCGCTTCTTTTAGAAAGGCTGGATTATTTTCTTGTCATCCTTTATGGACCCCTACAGGGATGCACTGGCTGCTTGTCACCATTTCTAGGTGGCTCAGATGGACCATTATCCAAGTTTATGGTCTCAAGGAACAGGTTTTAAACTTTCCTGTAAAGGTGTATGCTACTAGATCTGTGATTTCTTCTTTGGGCTTTTTGGCATCAAGCAAGCTTGCCCCCATGTCTTCTATTCAGGAGAGTTCTACCAGGTAAGGTGTTGCTGCTAAGTTCCAGCTTCGGGTGCAAGGTCCTTCAAGCTGCTTTTTAAGCTGCAGGTACTCTCTGGTCTCTGTTGTTTTCTTGTACCTTGTTTGTTTGCTGTGTTGTTTTTCCCTACTTAGTTGGACTGCTTTTGAATGTCTTGAAGGTTAAAGACTTTGTGTCCTTCAATGGATGAGAAAGAAAATATAATTTTCTACCCATCGTAAAATCCTTTTTTAGAGACTGTTGAGGACACAGGCCCCCACCTATCTGTGTTTGTGATCATGCTCTTGGTACTGCTTTGCTACACAGCTGAGGCATGCCGAAGGCAGCAGTATAACCCAAAGGTTAAAGACTTCCTTGTTTTTCAATGTACTCCAAGCAAAGGATTTTATGGGGAATACAAAATCTTATTTTATTAGCTTATATGAATGCACTTTTTCTGTAATTATGAGATGTACAGACTTTTAACAGACTTAGTGTTGAAATCTGTGTCATCTGTATCTGCTTACATTGTTTTTATTTTCTTTTATTTTCCCCAGAGAGAAGAACAAAATAAAATTTGAAGAGTTTACAAATGATTTTGCTAAGGAACTTTTGGAATACAAGAAAATCCAAAAAGAGCGAAAGCGTTCATATTCAAGGTGTGAGAAGTTTGGTTTTCAGAGATCTCTGCTACCAGGTTATGGATGGCGCTTACTGAGCAGATAATGGACCCTTAGAACATTACAAGCACTAATCTCTTCTAACTGCACCCAGTGTTAGCAACGTGTCATAATGGTTTGCTTGAGAAACCTCAGACTTGCAGGGAAAGAGTATGGATTAGACTTGACTGCTTCTTGCTTTCTTTTTTCAAAAAATAGTTTTCCCTTTACTCTCTGTCCTGTAGACTAAATAAGAAGTGAGAATTTCTCCAAGGTTAAGGAAACCCTTATATATATTTTTTTTCTAATTGTACATCTTGTGACACAGAGCATTTTAGATTCATTATGAATAAGGTTGTGTTACCACCTACAGGCGATTAGACACTGGCAAAAAAAAGTCAGGCAGTCCCCTCTAACGTATAACTCCTTCCCATAAGGCAAGGCTTCAGTTTCTTTTGCTAGTGTCTAAAGGTGATGGTCACGGCGTGCAGCTCTCTACACAAAATTATCTGGCTTCTCAACGGTTCCCCTTGGGATCAGGAGACTGACTTTTTAAAATCCATTCCTACGGATATTCATCGCTCAAAGGAAAGATACCCAGACCCCGCACAGAATGATGCGGGGACAGGCTGTAATGTTTCCAGTTGGGGCTGGACCCTGTGCAATATTATATGCCTGGTGAACCAGCAGAGTGGTATACAGGTCCAGGGCAGTAATCTCCAGCTGGGGATTCACATTTTGTATTCATGTTTGCGTTTAGTTCAGTAGTTACTATCTCCTTTTTAGGCCTTGATGAAGGAGATCTCTGGCCCGTGAAATTCTTCGGCTTTTGTGATAAATATCCAGGCCAGTTACTTCCATATTCCCTACAACATTAGGATAACCATAAGGTCCCAGTGTTACCCTCCCAAGTTTTTGTTCCTTGACAAAAATTGGGCAGAACTCTCTCCCAATGCATCTAATGAGGCATGTGCTTGTCTGGTGGCATCAAGCTTTTGACCAAGCTTTAATGGCTGTTAATATAAAAAAGTAGGTTTTACATTATTTGCATATGCCAGCTTGAATTTTGATTCCCCTTTAACTCTGCAGTGCACCAACACACTAAGGGCCCATTCACACCAGCTGGCATGCATTATGATGTGCATAATGCACCTGCTGATGTGTGTTGTGCATGTACATTGCAGTGCATTGGTATAACAAATTACAGTGCTTATATTTTTTTTTTTACATTCTTCTGATTCTTGACCATGGGGTTTTATAGCGCCACTCACAGGAGTAGTACACTAGACAGAAAAGAACACAGCACCGCCTATGGGCAGTTCCTTCTAGTATAAAACCCCCTTTCTGCTATGGACAATTCAGTTCTTCATTCTAAGGTTCGGGTATAAGGATTAGGTTCTCTACTGGAACCTGTGGTTCTATAGCTTTTTTCCTTTTTTCGTGGGATTTTTTTTCACTGCAGAGATGATCTGGGCTGGACGACATGCCGGATAATCTAGATACAGTGGTCACCCCAGTCTTTCCAACAATTGCATGCGGACCTTCAGCTACACACTAAGTCCGCTGCAACAGCCCCATCCTGGACCAGGACAGCTAAACCTCACTGGGCACATAAGACGGGAAACAGACAGTACCAATTTGACAGGCATGTCCCCACACTCAGTGTGCTTTTGTGCGTGAGAGCGTTTCCATGCATTTATTTATGTTTTATAGCTTGTTTTTGTGAGACACTTGACTTTTAGGCTTAGTTACTTTTTCATCTGTGAATAATCCCAAGAGGTATGAGGAACCCCATAACCCACACATAAGTTAATTCTGTTTGTAATTTCCCTGACATAAGGCAGCCCAAGGCTAGAGCATATCCTTTTGTTTGAAAAGTACTTCTGGGTGCCCTAAAAACAGCCAGAGACAGTGCTTTTTATATAGGTAAATGATAGCTTCCAAGCAAAGTCAGGAGCTCTGTCACACCTTTTGCCTTCCAAAGTACAGAGGGTGCATCTCTTTGTAGCCTGCTTTGAAAGGCAGAGGCAAACTTTTTGATTGTCGATATTTGGAAGGTGTTACAGCACTTAAAGTAGAACTACAGGCAACACTTTTTTTTTTTCATTTTGGATAAAGTAAGGGAGGTATAACCCATGTCAGTTTTTTAAAAAAAAAAAGAAAATCTGTGTCCCACTGGGGATATGTCCCTTCACATCCTATCCTATAGCCAAAACAGAAAATGAGAGGAAATCCCTGCTATTACTGTTATGGGAACAACCCATAATTTTGGGATTTTCTTTTACTTTTACTTTCGGTGAGAACTGTAAACAGGATAAATAAAGAAGGTGAATCTACATAAAGGGCACAGACAGCTGTGAAAACTGATGGGTGTTCTAATCCTCTTCCATTCTGTCCAAAACAAAAAGAAAAAAAGTGTTGCCTTAAGTTCTACTTTAACCAGAAGTCAAGATTCACATATATATAGCTTACCCAGATTCAGGGGTCACTAGGATGCACAGAAAGAATTTGAAATAGAAGTGATGTGCCATCAAGGAAACTGCATATAGCTTGGAAGTGGTGACAAGCTCGCTTTTATGAAAAATGAGAGTAAATGTCAAACTCACTGTTATTAATGTATCTATTTTGATGTTTTTGTCCTAGGTCTAGATCTCCATACTCTGAATCATCCTACAGTAAAAGTTCTTATACCTACTCCAAATCAAGATCTTCGTCAAGGTCACGCTCCTATTCTCGCTCTTTCAGTCGATCACGCTCTCGGTCTTTCTCGCGATCCCCTTCTTACCAGAGGAAGACCCATGGAAAAGGACGTGCTTACCGCTCCAGATCACGTTCTCATGGCTACCCCCGCTCCAGATCCAGGTCTCCATACAGAAGATACCACTCTCGATCTAGATCTCCTTCATACAGACCTCCATCTCCCAACAATAAGAGACTACTTCCCCAAATTGAAGGAGAACGGGATTATGTTAACCGTTACCGTGAATTCCCACCATATGATGTGAAGGCAATGTACGGCCGGCAGCCTGATCTGAGGGATCCTTTTGAAAAGGAAGCTTTTAGAGAGTGGGAAAGAAAATACAGAGACTGGTATGAAAAGTATTATAAAGGGTGTGCAGTGAATACTATGCCAATGCCAAGGCCAAGGTCCCCTCCTGGTAGGGAGAACTTTCCAGACAACCGATATCTCCTTCCTCCTCAGGCTCGGAGGGAACACTCCCCATTTAATCGCAGCCACAGAGACAATTATCCTCCACCTCTTGTTCCCCGAATTCGTCCTGTAGTTAGCAGTTATCCTGAAAAGGTATTGCCCCGTGATGCTCATATGGTGAAAGAATCTAGACGATCTAAGGAGAGGAAGCTTTTGTTCCAGCTGGAGATTCCCGAGGAAACAAACATAAGAAACATCGCAAAAAAAGGAAGGAGGAGGGAGAAGGTCCTTCTAAGCCTGTTGTTGAACCTTCAAGAAAACGTCGAGATTCTCATGGGGAAGATGTCAAAAGAGCTGAACCTCTCTTTGTTCCCACAAACAAAGATGATGCTACTCCAGTTAGGGATGAGCCTATGGATGCAGAGTCTGTTGCTCCAAAATCTCTTTCTGACAAGGACCGACGGGACAAACCCAGAGTGAAACCTGAAAAGGCAAAGCGCCGAACAGAAGTTGTCCAGCCCAAAAAGGATAGCTCTTCCAAGGTCGTCAAGACTGAGAAAGCTGGCAGTGATGGAGATAAAGCAAAGTCTTCATCTCTTGAACCTCCCCCAAAGAAAGTCAAAGATGAGACCCCAAAAGCAGAAAACTCCAAGCATACCACCTTACCAAAGGATGAGAAATCCAGCATGCTGCCCCGCAAAGTCCATCTCAAAGCTGTAAAAGAGAATCAGGATAGCAAACAATCTAAGGATGACAAAAACAAAAAAGAACATTCCAAAGATTCCAAACAAGACATCCCACCAGCTAAAGAAGAAAAGGTTAAAAAAGCTGCAGAAAAACCTAAAACTGTGGACTCCAAGCCTGACAAGCGCAAGCGAAAAACCGATGAGAAAACCAGTGATAAGGGGTTAGAGAAACCACCAGCTAAGACTGCCAAAACCGATACTGCTGAGGCTTTAAAACAACCTACCCCCAAAGTGAAGACTGAGTCAGAAGTTACAAAGTCTGAGAAAGTCCCAGAGAAAGAGAAAGCTGCCGCCCCCCCCCCCACCACCGCCACCCCACCCCCCCCCAACCACCACCACGACAACTGTGAAAAAGATAAAGCTAAATCGTGAAACTGGTAAGAAGATTGCTAACTCAGATGCTGCTGGAGTGCCAGAGGAGACCCAAGAGAAAACGGAGTCTGCTGTTGTTGCCAAAGCTAAATCAGAACGTGCTAAGGGGAAAGTGAAGAAGAAAATCACTGCGGCTGATGGCTCTACCCTCGTAGATTATGCTAGGTAAATAAGGCTTTGTGCCTAAATGAGATTTAATTCATTTTCTAATTAGAAAATAATTCTGATGTGAACAATGAATTGAGAATGCAAAAGCAGCCTAAAGTGAATAACCTGCTGAAGCTTTAGTTCTTTTGGATAGAAAGGAAATTAATTTGATCCCTGTTGGGTTTTTTCTGCTTTATGGGGTTCCTATACCATTTACTGTCATGATGATGACAGTTTCACCAGACTGGGCGTGAGGGTAAATCTCCTAAAAGATGAGCAAGGTCCTAGTCTTCCCTTACTTTTACTTTTTTTTTTGCAGGCGCGTGCCTATTTTTCACCTGTTGTTCACCTAGGGTGACAGCACTCACTCACTGCACTGTATCTGGGGAAGAGCAGTGTTGTCGCTCTAGGCCAGGGGTAGGCAAACTGCGGCTCTCCAGCTGTTGTGGAACTACATTTCCCATGAGGCATTGCAACATTACAAAACTGACAGTTACAGCTATGACTTGCAAAGGCATGATGGAACTTGTAGTCCTGCAACAGCTTGAGAGCCGCAGTTTGCCCACCCCTGCTCTAGGCTGCTTGCTCCTGATTTTCAATACAAAATACCTCCCCCCTCATCACATCACTGTAAGGGGGATGGGGGTGTTCTGTATTTCAGGGATGACCTGGGCAGAGCTAAAAACAATGCTTGGAATTTCAGGCCAGAGGAAATTATGTGTTGTCTGGATTTCTAGCAGGATAAACAGCGGGTATTTTTTGTACTTGCATTATAGTGGAAAAGACAAAGCACAAGTAACTGTGAGAGATATTGATTTTTTTTTTAATTTGTCCAGGCATAGACTTTACATGTTTAAAGTATTTAGTATTACAGTTGCAAGAAAAAGTATGTGAACCCCTTGAGATTACGTGGCGTTTTGCATGAATTGGGCATAAAATGTGCTCTGAACGTCATCTAAGTCACAACAATAGAAGAACGCAGTCTGCTAAACATAATACTACACAAACATTAGATGTTGCCATGGTTTAATTGCACATAACATGTAAACATTCACAGTGCAGGGAGGAAAAAGTATGTGAGGCCCTAGCTTAATGACTTCTCCCAGAGCTAATTGGAGCCAGGAGTGAGCCAACCTTGACTCCAATCAGTGTGATGATATTGGATGTGTTGCTGACAGCTGTCCTGCCCTTAAAAAACACACACCTGTTTTTGGTTTTACTGGTTTCAAGAAGCACTGTCTGATGTGAACCATGCCTCGCAGAAAAGAGCTCTCAGAAGACCTACGATCAAGAATTGTTGACTTGCATGAAGCTGGAAAGGGTTACAAAAGTATCTCCAAAAGCCTTGATGTTCATGTGTCCACGGTAAGACAGACTGTCTACAAATGGAGAAAGTTTAGCACTGTTGCTACTCTCCCTAGGCGTGGTCGTCCTGTAAAAATGACTGCAAGAGCACAGCGCAGAATGCTGCATGAGGTAAAGAAGAATCCCAGAGTGTCAGCTAAAGACCTACAGAAATCTCTGGCACATGCTAACATTTTTGTTGACACATCTACAATAAGGAAAACATTAAACAAGAATGGAGTACATGGGAGGACACCACGGAAGAAGCCATTGCTGTCCAAAAAGAATATTGCAGCACGTTTGAAGATTGCAAAAGAGCACCTGGATGTTCCACAGCACTACTGGCAGAATATACTGTGGACAGATGAAACCAAGAGTGAGTTGTTTGGGAAGAACACACAACACTATGTGTGGAGAAAAAAAGGCGCAGCAAACCAACATCAAAACCTCATCCCCACTGTAAAACATGGCGGAGGGAGCATCATGGTTTGGGGCTGCTTTGCTGCCTCAGGGCCTGGACGGATTGTTGTCATTGATGAGAAAATGAATTCCAGAGTTTATCAAGACATTTTGCAGGAAAACGTACGACCATCTGTCCGCCAACTGAAGCTCCGCAGAGGATGGGTGATGCAACAGGACAATGACCCAAAGCATACAAGTAATTCAACAAAACAATGGCTGCAACAGCACAGAATACGCCTTCTGGAGTGGCCCAGTCAGAGTCCTGACCTCAACCTGATTGAAATGCTGTGGCATGACCTTAAGAGAGCGATTCACACCAGACATCCCAAGAATATTGCTACACTGAAACAGTTTTGTGAAGAGGAGTGGTCCAAAATGACTCCAGATCGTTGTGCAGGTCTGATCTGCAACTACAGGAAACGTTTGGTTGAGGTTATTGCTGCCAAAGGAGGGTCAACTAGTTATTAAGTCCAAAGGTTCACATACTTTTTCCTCCCTGCACTGTGAATGTTTACATGTTATGTGCAATTAAACCATGGCAACATCTAATGTTTGTGTAGTATTATGTTCAGCAGACTGTGTTCTTCTATTGTTGTGACTTAGATGACGTTCAGAGCACATTTTATGCCCAATTCATGCAAAACGCCACGTAATCTCAAGGGGTTCACATACTTTTTTTTGCAACTGTATATGTGGCTATTTTCAAGTTCTCCTTTAATTGCACAATCTAGAATAATTTGTGTAGTTTAACCAGTTGCCGCCCACGCACAGTACATCTACTAGGGGCGGGTGGAACGGGCAGGCTGAATCACGTAGATGCACGTCATCAAGCTGAGGGGTGTGCAGTGCATTGCTCCTCTCGCAACCGTTGTGTCCACTAAAACTTCATTAATAACAGCTGTGATTCATATAGTGATGCTATAATTGGCCTACAGCTATCACATAGTACATTGGCCAATCACAGCACCCTGTACCATGTGATAGCTGTGAGCAAATCAAAGTACAGAAGAATAATCACAGCTGTTATGAATGTATCCCATTCATGACACTGTACTACTCCGGGGTATTGCTTTGTTTTTTTGGTTTTTTTTTTGTTGTGGTTAGCGATCATTGTAACAGTGAAGTGTTGAAAAAAATAAAATCTCCCTGGAGTAGTACAGTATCACAGTGGTAACACTGAACTACTCTAATGAAAGTATGTAAAAGAAAAATAGTTAATAAAAAGAAAGAAAATGTTTAAAAATTGGAATATTTTTTTTTTTTTTTTTTTTAACATACTGTCACCAGTCAGTATCCCTGATCACCGCCACATCAGTCATATGACTACACTGTACTGCACTGGTGACAATATGTAAAGAAAAAAAATATTTAATCATTTAACTTAATGCTAAAAGTTAACGTAAAAAAAAAAAAAAAATCGCCATTCCTCTTACTAAATACCTCAGACTGTCTACATTCCAAAAAGGGGTTATTTGGGGGATATTTGTACTGTCCTGGCATTTTAAGGGCCTCAAGAAATGATAGGCAGTCAGTACATCAGAATTGATCAATTTTTAAATATTTATACCATTGTTTGTAGACACTACAACGTTCATACAAACCAATTCATATACACTTATTGGGATTTTTTTTTTACCAAAAAAATGTAACAGAATAAATTTTGGCCTAAATTTATGAAGAAATTTGATTTTATTGGATATGTTTTATAAGAGAAAGTAGAAAATATTGTTTGTTTTTTTTTCAAAATAGTCTCTTCATTTATATAGAAAATTAAAAAAAAAACAGTGATGATCGAATACCACCAAAAGAAAGCTCTATTTTGTGTAAAAAAAAAAAAAAAAAAAAAAATATAAATTTAATTTGGGTACAGCGTTGCATGACAAGCAATTGCCAGTTAAAGTAGCGCAATACTGAATAGCAAAAAAATGGCCTGGTCATGAAGGGGGTAAAACCTTCACGTAATTAAGCACCTGCTTTGTATTGAGTGTTTAATTTAAAACATTTTTTAAATCTTGTCCTTTCTTCATCTTCACACAGCACTAGTTCCACTGGTGGAAGCCCTGTTCGAAAAGCGGAAGAGAAGCAAGATGCCAAGAGAACGGTTATTAAGACTATGGAAGAGTACAACAATGACAGCACAGCTCCCCCCGAGGATGTTATTATAATGGTTCAGGTTCCTCAGTCAAAGTGGGACAAGGATGACTATGAGTCTGAGGAGGATGATACAAAAGATTCACAGGGAGTGTCCAGCGTTGGAAAGCCAGTGAGTGTTGTGACCAAACCAATGTCTACTGTAATTTTGCCTGAAAAAGATGCTGAAAAATTAAAAACAACCAGAGAACAGGGAAAAGAGGCTACGTCACAGGATGGAAAACCTTCCAAAGAAAGCTTAGTAACTGTAACCAAGGTCAGAGCAAAAGACAAAGGCAGTCCAGCTGTTGATGACAGGAGAAGCAATTCTGATCGCAGCCAGACTTCTTCTAAAGAGAGGGCATCTGAGAAGCCAGATTCTAGTCGTGGAGGTTCCACTAAAGACTTCACCCCCAATCGGGAGAAAAAAACAGAAATGGACAGCAAGGATAAAAAACTGGAACACGAAAGGGAAAAAAGGGGTGATCATGACACCAGAGAAAGGGACAAGAAACATGATCACGACAAGAAGCAAGACTATGATAGCCGCGACAAAAAAACAGAGCATGACAGCAGAGACCGAGAAAGAAGGCAAGAGCATGATGGAAAAGACCGGGAGAGAAAGGGCGAGCATGAGAACAGAGAGAAAAAGTCTGACCATGATAGCAAAGCAAAGAAACCGGATCATGACACGAAGGACAGGAAGCCTGACCATGATGGACGGGACCGTAACAACTCCAAGAGACGGGATGAGCGGAGAAAAGACTCTCCAAACAGAACGAAAGAATCATCCTCTACTTCACAAAAACAAAGACCCAGGGACACGTCCAGCGACTCTTCTAAAAAGGCATCTAAAGAGTCTAAAAGTAGTCCAGGACAAGAGCACACATCAAGGACAGAGCAGAAATCAGACACTAAACGTCCAAGCAACGATCAGCCGTCATCTGATAAAAATGGTGATAGGGGAAAGGAGAAAGCCCCCAAGTCAAAAACAGATGATGCGGGTGACAAAAAATCCTCCGTCTCTAAACGCTCTTCCCCTGAAACAAAAACTGACAAGGAAGCCAGCGAAAAAGACTCTTCGAAGGCCAAGGTGCCCCAGAGCCGATCCACACGGCTCTCGACAGACCTGACTAGAGACACAGATGAAGCTTCCTTTGTGCCTGACTACAACGAAAGTGATAGTGAGGCTTCTGTCAAACAGGAAGACATTGCCCAAGACCCTCAGGATACAAAAAACAAGGATGAGGAACCCGTGGATAACACGGAGCCAGGCAGCCTACCTGCCACTGCTCCAAGCAGCCGAACAGCAAGCCGCAGCCGTAGCCACAGCCCTGTAGAATCTCACAGCCGCAGCAGCAGCGCCAGCTCAGCAGGGAGCCAAGACAGCAAGAAAAAGAAGAGAAAAAAGGAGAAAAAGAAACACAAAAAACATAAGAAACACAAGAAGCATAAGAAGCACACTGGCAATGAGTCAGAGACTGAAAAGAGCCAAAAACACAAACACAAAAAAAAGAAATCTAAAAAGAGCAAAGACAAAGAGACTGACCGAGAGGAGGCTAAAACCAAGCCTCCAGCACCCAACTAATGTCTTCAAATGGGACAATATTCCACCTTATTTTTATTTTTTTTGTCCATCCATGTAATGTATACATTCTTGCTCTGTAAATAATGGGAAAATGTGCCACAACTAATGTATTGATTTGACTTTTACATTAGAGCTTTATAAAAAAAAACACACTTTTGTACAGAAATGCGTTTGTTGTGACCGCATTGCTAAATGATTATTTTTTATTTATCTCTGCCAATTTGCTTTTTATTCAGGTGGGAATTGGTGTACTGTGAAGAAAAAATGAAATAAACTTTATTTTTGTTAGCCATTTTAAGTTAACACAATTTGCAAATTAGGAAAGGAAAAAAAAAGTGCCGCTTTCGTTCTCAAACCCCCCAATCTCCTAATACTCCCAGCCGCATATTCAGGTTTATTAGGCAAAGCTGTGGGAATTGCAGCAGCGACTTTGCACAGTGATGTGCAGAGTACAGTGACCCATCCAGGACATTTCTTTCACTGTAGTCAGATCAGCACTGACAAATTCTGCTTTGGGTTGATGTACCTTGCGCATCTTTCTTTTTAGATGAACTGTTTGGCCTGCCAAGTCTTTAGGTTTGTCTAATAGGCTATTGTTTTTTCGTTTTAGTTTTTTTTACCCTTTTTCATCAGCTTCTTCTGTGAAATGCATGTAAAATATTTTTTTGTAAATCTTCACGAGTTGTATATATAAAGAGTCATTGAAGAAGTATTTCTAAGCCGAGGTTTGCTGAGCCACTGGGAAGCTGTTTTGTGACTTGAAGCCAATACATTTTGAAGACGCGTATTCAGCACAGTGCAATTTTCTCCTCCTTTAGGGCCAGCGCCAGATGTTAGCTTTTAGACCTACCATCTGGCAGTTTAATATACAGTTATTGATGCCATTTGTCAGCATTTGAATAATGTGTCCGGTAGGAGCGGTTAGGTACATTATGGGGTCTCTGTGGCGCTACCACAACGTTTTACGTTTGGTCATCATTCATCGCTCCCTACTTTTGTTTTACATCAGCCGTACTACTGTAAACATGTAAAACTAATATGGGGTTTCTTTACGATAGCATCCAAAATAAATCTTTGCATTGCCCCATGCCTGCTGGTCAGAGTCAACCCTGCATTTTGAACCTGTTAGTTTGTAAAGTGAAATCTGGTTGGTGGTTGTGGGATATTAAAGGCTTTTTATCTTCCAGATGGTTTAAGTGGAATTGTGGGCAAAAACAATAATGACACATATTATACAGTCTGCCACTAGCAATAACAGTGTTTTATGTTCTGGAACTTGTTGGTCCTTGCAGTAGCTTTTTCATTTCTTCTTCCTATAATGTGACAACACTGCCTGTTCTGCAGTGACATCTCAATGCTGTCACTGCGGATAGGGTAGCCTAGATCAAAAGACTTTTTTGGGGGTGGGGGAGGTTTAAAGGTGATTATAAGCCCTCACCTTGTAAAACAACCCATTCAGTGGATATGAAAGGCAAATCATTTGTGTAAAGATATAAAAAATTATGAATATATTTTTCTCCTTTTTTTTTATTTTTTTTATTAGTGATTACATGCCCTCTATTCTCAGCTACATAGGAGCTGGGGGAGGAGAAAGCAGTACACTGATCTTCCCAGTGATAGGCTCTGCAAGGAAGGGGGGCGGTGTCAGAGCAAGTCTGATCATTGGAGGAGAGCAGCCTGAGTTCGCAACTGACCACGCTGTGCTCTCATACTTAGTGTGGTCAGTTTTTAATAGGAAAGTAGAGGGACTGGCAGGAACACCAGGGATTTCACACAAAGGAAGCAATACAAAGAGAACAGGAGACTTTCATACAAGTACATGGTACAGCAGGCACATATCCAGAATATGAAAAGTGGGGTTTACATATTCTTTAAAGCAGTATTAAACTGGAAAACAAAAATGTAATACATTACAGCTTACCAGTCCTTGGATGTGACAGCTGCATTCATTTTCTTTTTTAGGCTTCTTTTTCACCTGGTGATCCTGCCAGTAACACACTTTCTGTCTTGGAGTGTCCCTGCCCTGGATGAAGAGCAGAGACATACATTGTTAGTATGGGGAGAGAGTAGTGTTAGATGCACTAGTAGATTTAGATGGGCCTGAGTAACAAAACCAAACTTCACTGAATTTTTTTAAGCAGTTACAGAAACAGTTTTTTCCTTTTTGGGATAAAGCTTTTATAAAAATGTAATATATTAGGGCTGAGCATTGGAAGCACTTATGTCAGTGTTGAATGGTTTGTCTCAATCCTCTAATCGCTGAACAGCTTGGCCTGTTATAGAAGATTGAAAGATAAAACTTACTGGCTAGATCAAAGAATAAAAAAAAAAGAAAATAAATAAAATGCAGCAACCACATCAAGAATTGGGAAGCTGAACTTTTTTTTGGATTGGGGGGGCTTATTACTACTTTAACTTGAAATAAAAAAACAAATCTGACCATTGTTAGCACCCCGTCAGTGTTTGTCCCAACCCTTATGACTGCTACGATTGCTGAATAGCACAGCCTGCTAAGGGAAGGGGAAAAAAATAACACATTTTCTGGCAGAATCAATAGATAAAAAAAAAATGTCACAGGGCAATGCCAAAAAAACAAAAAAATTTTTTTTTTTTTTAATCAGTCGTTCTAATTTTTGTTTTTTTAAAGTCTCTTAAAGTTGTTTTCAGGCTATTTTTTTTTGTCCTGCTCACATTCCTATTCCCCACTGATGCTACTCGTGTAGAGTGAGTAGTACTGGGTTTTTTTTTTTGGGTTTTTTTTTTTTGATTTTTTTTTTTTTTTTTTTTCCTGGTCAATAATCTGCTCTATGCGAACTACAATTCCTATTGAGCTGAACGTGTCTATATGTAATCCACCTTGGGAGGCAAGCAGGGAAGAGTGGCTACATTCACATACACAAAAGGGGGCAGGAAAGAACAAACGTAGCCACCCTAAAACGGAGGCAGAATAAAGCTCGCAATTGAGAGATGGAATGTACATTTCACTTGTATTTAAGCATTTTGCATTTATTTTATGAATAATGTGAGTTTAGTGTCACTTTAATGGCGATTGATGGACTGCATCCTCTGTCACTTGTTGATTTTGCCCATGGTTCCTCTTTCAGGCCTACCGTGCTCAAATCTCTTGTCCCCAGTCACAGTTGGGAGATGTCCATAGTCATGTATGTCAGACAAGCCTGCCTGTGTGAGATGCCTCAGATGTAAATTGCCACCTTTAGACTTTTGGCATGCACACCTTTTTTCAGGGATGTAGTGAGAATTTCAGTGAATCCTTACTGTAACAGCAGCAGCTTGTAGCCACTTAGAAAACAGCCGCGTCTGCCTGAGGCTCCTGCACTGGCAGTTTGTTGCATGACAGATTTCATTCAAAATGTTACCCCTGACTGAACTACACCAAGACAGACACTCTGTGCCCCATGATATACAGTAGATCAGATGGTTTTTAATTTGTAAAAAAAACATGTTATTGAGACTTCTTTTCTGTAGCCTTTTTAATATAATTTAATCAGTAATCTTGTTCAGAGCTTTGCTGCAAATAAATCGGCGTCAGACTCCAAAAGTTCAAATGAACTTTGGTTAAGGAGTGTTTTTTTTTTTTTTTTTATCAGAGCTTCTCCACACTATACGGAATCATTGTGCAGCAAACTGGCTTCATGAACACGAGATTCTCCTGCTTTATGGCTAAAGTTGCTGCATGCTGTCGTTTTACAAAAAGAAAAAAAAAATCTGGTGAATCATATTTGTCTATTTCAGCAACTGGCGGTGCCTCCAAAATTCAAGGTGTCCAACCGAAGAAGTCACCATATCAAATTGTGGCATTTACTGCTGCTTATGCTGCTCTACATGGCTTTATGTGCACTTTTTTTTACCAGCAGACCTTTTTTTTTGGGGGGGGGGGGGAGATTTGTTTTTGCTTCCTGTTAAATGTATCTATGTACAAAACTGGCACTGTGCAGAGAAAGCAAAGAACTTCATCTTCTCCTGTCTGAAATGTTTCTTATAATCTGTAAGCATAAGCAACCCTACCTCAAAGCGGTGTAAAGATATTTTTTTTCTGTGAATAAATACTGAATTTAACACATTTGTGACTGCTGATTTTAAGTTAGTGTGAAATTGGAATTTTATTTTCTTTATACTCCTGTGGGCTGTGGTTAAATGATATCTGTTTTCTACATGGTAATGTTAAAGCTAAACCCCCTTCCTTGAAGCTTGTTTAGGTCTAGGGCAGGGGCGGGTTGACCATTTGGAAACTCGGGCACTGCCCGAGGGCCCGGGGTCAGTAGGGGGCCCCATTAGATCCCCCTGGTACCTTTTTCATAGGCTTTTTTGAGTTTGGGCAAGGACACAGGGGCCCCATGATGCCCTATTGCCCGGGGGCCCCATGAGTTGTCAGTCCACCCCTGGTCTAGGGATATTGGAAATGCAGTTTACTTGCCCGATCCTCTGTTCCCACAGACTCCTCTTCTCCCCTATGCTCCAGAGATCTAAGGTCCTCTGCAGGGCTTTTTTTTTTTCAGCGGGAACCTCCTCTAGCACTGACGCTAGGTTCACATCTGTGCGGGGGTGGTGCCGCTGTGGATTCGCACAAAATTCCATGCAGTGGCATCGCCTGCACAGAGAAATGTGGACCCGCGGGCAGGTGCCATTTCTAATGGTACGCCGCCCACACTGGAAAACGCAACCGTACTGGGAACCTCGGCTGCGTTTTCCAAAGCAGTGTAGGGACTTTTTCCCTGCATGTCACGGGCACAGGAGTCCATTCAAATGAATGGGTTCTCGTGCCCGTGCAAAACGCGGCCTACACGACCGCATATATGTGAACTGGGGGTGAATGTATGTAATAATTACAGTTAGTCTGGCTGAAAAAACACAAAAGTCCATCCAGTTCAACTATAGAAAAAAAAAGTTATAATCCTATACCCACAGTTGATCCAGAGGAAGGCAAAAAACCCCAGCAAAGCACAATCCAATTTTCTCCTGCTGGGAAAAAAATTCCGTCCTGATCCCCCGAGAGGCAATCGGATATTCCCTGGATCAACCTTACCTATAAATGTTATATCCAGTTATATTCTGTATATCCAAGAAACAATCCAGGACTTTTTTGAAGCAATCCACTGAGCTGGCCAGAACCAACTCTTGAGGGAGTCTATTCCACATTTTCACATGTAATGGCAAGGTGTGCTGAAGGGTTCATTGATGCTGGCTCCTGCGGAATTTGTTACTGGAGGCGATCTATTGTTGAGATAGGGGTCCATTATCGGGGGGGGGGGTCTATTGTTGCTGGGAGGGATCTACTGTTGAGGGAGGGGGTCTCATTTCTAACTGCTGGAAGGTCTAATAATGCTGGCTACTAAAAGACCTATTGCTGCTGGAGGGTTCTGTTGTTTCTTGGGGCTGGTCTGTTGTTGCTGGGGAATTCTAGTGTTGCTGGTGGGGGATCGATTGTTGGGGGGGTTTGTTGCAGGGGGTCTGTTGCTGGGGCATTCTAGTTTTGCTGATGGGGATCTATTGTTGGGGGAGGTATATTGTTGCAGGCTCCAGGGGATCTATTTTACGGCTTTTCTTGTTATCATTGACAAATTCCATGCAAATTACTTAACAGCACAAAATTATACTTGGTTCTGTGTTCTATAAAAGGGGTGGTATTGGGAGGTGGATAGGGGGTAGAAAAAATGGATGGTGTTGGAAGGTGGGTAGGGGGCATAGACTGGGGGGTGAGTTGGAAGGTGGAGTACCTGCACCTGTTCTGAGAATAAAAAAAGCCCTGGTCCTCTGACATTGTCAGGACTGATGCAGGGGCCATAATGTGCATTGGACATGAGAACGCTGAGGAAGAGTCCACAGCCAAAGGAGTGGGTAAGCAAAACTGCCTGCAGACAGAAGAGAGCAGTTAATCCTTGCAGTGCAGTTGGGCTTTAAGTCAGTAATAACCCCAAGAGCAACTGTTTAATATATACAGCTTACCTATTCTTAGATGTGATGGCTGCATTAGTTTCCTTCTTTTTACACTTCTATTTTCATCTGGTGATTTAGCCAGCAACTCTGCTGTTTTCCAGAAATTCAAGCTCTCCAGCGGAATGTATCCGTTTACATGGATGGGACAATCCATTACCAGTGGCAGGGGTGATTTAAAATGGTCAGCTTTTATTTATGTAAAACCTTTATCCCAAAAAGGCAAAAAAAAAAAAAAAAACTGTTCTCTGCAACTAATTAAAAAGCGTTAGCCTGCAATTTGTTATTGTTTTCAAAGCTGCTAATACATTTAAACCCCCCCCCACCCCCCGACTGACAGATTGACAGTGCTGTTGTCCAGTGGTCCCCCCCCCTTGCTTATTCATCCAGAGTGGGGGCACTCTAATACTGGAGGAGTGTTACTGGCCAGATCACCGGGTGAAAACAGGGAAGAAGGCCAAAGAAGAGAAATCTAATGCAGCCACCACATCTAATGAGACTGGTCAGCTGCAATATATTACATTTTTGGTTCTGGGTTTAATACTCTTTTAAAGCTTTAGTTCACCTTTACCAAAAACTTCCTGTGCAGTTAAGGGGTGCATGTAAATAAAATCAAACTGCAGTTTTCCTCTAGCCGGACAATTATGCAAATGTGCGGCCGCTCGGCGTCTAGGCCCAGATGCCGGAAGGGCCACACATTTGCATTCGGCTAGCATGAAGAGGTTAAAACACCTTTAATTCATAACCAGTTGTCTATGCACTCACATTATCAACATAAAATATGGGCAGCACAGTGGCTAAATGGTTAGCACTTCCACCTGGCAGTACTAGAGTCGCTGGTTTGAATCCCAACCATGGCACCACCTTCCTGGAGTTTGCATGTTCTCCCTGTGCCTGCGTGGGTTTCCTCCTACACTCCAAAGACATGCTGGTAGGTGAATTGGATCCTGCCTAAATTGTCCCTAGTATGTGTATGTATGAATGTGAGTTAGGGACCTTAGATTGTACACCCCTTGAGGGTTAGGGACTGATGTGAATGTACAATATATATATAAAGCGTGGCGTAAATTGATGGCGCTATATAAGTACCTGAAACAAATAATAAACTTGCACTTTGTAATTAACACATGGAACCTCCTCTATGCACACTTCCTATGCTCGCCGTCTGGTTCCCAAGTGCGTGGTGACATATTTCTGCTATAAGGCAGAGCGAAAGTGGTTAAAGTGCATTTTTTCCCAAAAAATTGTGCAAATATTGTGTAACATAAAAAATTGCAAAACCCACAATTTTATTCTCTAGGGCCTCTGATACAAAAATGTGTTTTGGGGGTTCTAAATAGTTCAGAATCCCCCAGTAGGGATGTAGTAAAATTAAGGTATTTACAATGCTTGCATTTAAAAATAAAATGAAATTTCATGATTTGATAATGTGTAGAGGAGTGTGATGGCCCACCTGAATAATCTACTCCATGTATATTGGGGAGCATCGGCTCTCATTCTTTGGTCTTTATAAGGGCTCATGTACACGGCAGCTGATAACCACGTTCAGGAGCTTTTCTGCATTTTTTTTCAGCAGCCCCTGAACTCTCCCTAATGTTCTCCTATGTGTCCATGTACACATCGTCATTTACAGGCAGCTGACTTTAATGTGATAAAATGTGGTGTAGAGCTATATACTAAAATAATATTAATAATAAATAATGTATGAATTATATAAATAAATACATAATAATAATGAATATAATATATAAATATAGTGACCACAAAATAATGTTGTGAAAAAACTCCAAGGTCCTGGGAATGGACCAAAAATAATGCCTTATATGAAAATAACCACACACCTCATATACTAAAATATTAATAAATACATAATACTGATAAATATATATATAAATGTATACATAATATTAACAAATAATAGATATAAATAATAAATAAGTGACCACAAATAGTGCTGTGAAAAAAAAACTTCAAGGTCCTATTATTGGACCAAATACGGTGCCTTATATGCAGGGGCGGACTGACAACTCATGGGGCCCCTGGGCAATAGGGGATCATGGGGCCTCTGTGTCCTCGCCAACACCCAAAAAGCCTATGAAAAAGCCAATGAAAGGTACCAGGGGCATCTCATGGGGTCCCTTACTGACCCCGGGCCCTTGGGCAGTGCCGAGTGCTTGAATGATCAGTCCGCCCCTGCTTATATGAGAATAACCAAAAACCTCACATACTACACACAATGTGATCTATGGTACCCAATACATTATACCATAAAGTGAATCCCTACACAGGGATCAAACAGCTGAGTTTACAGTCGTTTTTTTGAATGCACCAAACTTGTGTTCAGGAGTAGATTTTATCAGCGTTTCAAACGCTTGTAAATGCATGTAAATGTTTGCGTTTAAAAGCGTTTTTTAACTGTTCCATATCCAGATGCTGTCCAGAGCCTTTTTTCATCATCAGAAATGCAGGCAAAGTGTTTTCCATGTATTCAAATGGACCCGGTACACCAGCGCAGTCAGTTCCAGGTTTTGCGTGAAGGAAAAAATGGTAGAACGTGCCGCATTATGCTCATGATGGGATTCATAGTGAATACAACCAGAAAAGACAGGTCATCTCAACACCAGGGGCGGACTGACCATTCGAGCACTCGGGCACTGGCCGAGGGCCCGGGGTCAGGAGGGGGCCCCATGAGATGCACCTGGTACCTTTCATTGGCTTTTTCATAGGCTTTTTTGGGTGTGGGTGAGGACATAGGGGCCCCAAGATCCCCTATTGCCCGGGGGCCCCATGAGTTGTCAGTCCGCCCCTGCTCAACACATACTGCTCTCTCTGCTTCTGCTTTCTCTATTTCTCTAAAAATGTCTGAAATAGTTAATTATTTACTGTTTTTTCAGTGCACTCTGGACATTTTGGAAGATCTCCTGAGGTTATCTTTAAAAAACGCTTCTAAACGCAAACGCGCATAAACTCGGCTAATCATACGTTTTTTAACCTACGTTTTCCAGCAGTCAGTTTCTATCGTTCAGAAGAGTTTTCCGAACGTCCCGCGTACATGAGCCCTAAAACTGCATAGTATTTTGCTGCTGTATCTTGAATTGCCATTAGATGGCAGTAATCAGCAACAAATCTATTGTCAGTGTAATCCTCCATGCACCTAATGAAGACATGTTGGGCTATTAGCAGGATTTCCTTATCAACATTTTTATATATACAATCAATGCACAGCGGGGAAAATGGAAATGCCTGACACATGCTTTATATTAGAAAGTACAGACACTGGATCAGCATAACAGCCAGCAAACCAGTGTTTCCAGGAGGAGAGGTCAGCTTCAGAATTCCTCATTCTAGATTCCCCTTTTGTTTTCATAACCTGTGCTTGAAAAAAAGACAAAAAAAAAACAGCCGCCAAATCTTATACATAGAGCTCATTTGTTCTGTACATGAGAAACGAGA